TATTCGTACGGTCCACCCTATGTTGACTTCTACTATAGGCATATCCTCTAGTGCCTCAGTGTTCTGCAGTCCTGATTCGCTTTCCATTTCAAGTTGCAACACCTCCTTTAAATGAGCTCGACATTTTTCAAACAGCCTTCAAGTAGCAGGCTCACAACAACATCAAGTTGCCCTTCTCCAGGCCTCCAGCATGAAACTCAATCGCCACTTGGCACATCAAGACGACTGCCTTGAAAGTACTCAAGAGCAATCATTCGAAAATTGTATTCAAAGTGGCAGGCGCATGAACCACTGTGAAGTTAGCCATCATTGTGTACAAGCACTTACCCTCCCTTAGGTCATGGGTAGGGCGATCATTCCCTCCCATCCATCATCGCTCACCTAAGAAATTGTCTGGACATGAGGTGAGGGTGAGTTGGAAGCAAGTAAGTTCATTTATTGAAAAATGATTTAAATTTTATATTAATGAAATTCACTGTGATAATGAGGATGTTGTCAATCTGATAGTTATCTACTAGCCTAGTGACCACTACAATGTTGTTTAAGGGTTCCCATTTGCCAATTTGTCTTTTTCAATGAAGATAATCAAGGTGACTTTATTATTGACATTCGGGACATGATAGTCAAGTTGACTTTTTATGTATTGTGTTTCTTAAGACTCGCCCCTCACAATCGACTCCATCTCCAAAGAAATTGGTGAGCACCATCCCAATGTTGTAGGTGGTACGAACGAGAATTGGCTTGTTCCCTTGTCCTTCTGCACTGCTCACATGCCTGAGTTGGCTTGGACATTCTTTTAGCTTTCCCACTTTTATTAAATTCTCCACAAGGCTTTGAAGGGGCCTACATTCTCCGTGTCATGCATACGATTCCTTGTGGAATGGACAAAAATTTGATCCTTGGCATGGGTACTTTCCTCCACCAATGCCAAGCACCTGAAAAGTCCTTGTTGCGGAAAGTCTCAACCAATTAAACCATAGACACGTGCAAGGAAGTGATGGTCAGATATTGATGAGTGGGGTGTGCTCCTCCATATAAGCGAGCTGCATGCGGTTCTTCGACAATCCTCCATACATAAGGCGAGCAATCCTGCGATTCTAAATTGTCTCATCAGCAAGGGAGTTGCTCGTCGATAGCATCAAACCTACAACATATGTTGCCTCCTTTCCACCCCATGGACTCTTGGGAGGATCCTATCATACTCGAGATTTTGGCATTCATCATGCCTTGTCGTTGGATGAGATATTTTGCTAAACTTTTTAATGAAGAATGTGAAAATACGATTGACTTTAGTGACTTTAGCACCTTAAATAAATATAAAGATTTTTGTTTTTATCAGCGTATTAGTAAAATAGAAGTTAGAGTGGCTTTAAAGAAAATGGTGTGGAAAAGTTGTTGGACCTGATGATATTCCAATTGAGACGTAGAAATGCTTATGAAATGAAGGAATTTCTTGGCATACTAAACTTTTTAATATTGTTTTGAAGACTAAAAAGATGTCAGATGATTGGAGAATGAGTGTGTTAATACATATTTTTAAGAATAAAGGTGATGCACAGGAGTTTGTGAATTATAGAGAAATTAAGTTAATGTGTCATAATTTAAAACTATAAGAGCGAGTTATGGAGCGTAGGTTGTAGCGTGATATTAATGTTTCTAAAAATCAATATGGATTCATGCCGGGTAGGTCTCCTATGGAAGCATACATTTATTGAGAGATTTGATGGAGAAATATAGAGAGAATAAGGAGGATTTACATATTATATTTATTGATTTAGAGAAATCATATGATAAAGTTCCAAGATAAGTGCTATGAAGAGTTCTTGAAAAGAAAGGAGTTAATAACGCTTATATTCAAATCATTAAAGATATGTATGCATGAGCTATTACTTGTGTTCAAACACAAGGTGGTTTGATCAAGCATTTTCCTATTTCGGTCGAATTACATCAAGGATCAGCATTAAGCCCATATCTTTTTGCTTTAGTCATGGATGTTCTCACTAGACATTTGCAAGACGATGTACCTTGGTGTATGCTTTTTGTTGATGATATTCTTCTTGTTGATAAGACTAGAGAGAGAGTTGAAGGTAAACTTGAATTATGGAGGTCAACCTTAGAGTCTAAAGGTTTTCGCTTGAGTTGATCTAAAATTGAATATATGGAGTATAATTTTAGTAGCATTAAACCTAGTGAGGGAATTGTGACTTTGGGTGATTAAGTCATTAATAAGAGTACACGTTTTAGATATCTTGGATCTATTGTTCAGAGCGATGATGAAATAGTTGGAGATATTATCAGCAGAATTCAAGTTGGATGGTTGAAGTGGACTAGTGGAGGAATGATCGAGCTTGTTGTGCGATAGAAAAGTCTCCCTCAAATTTAAGAGAAAATTCTATAAGATGGTGGTGAGACCTGCAATGATTTATGATGTCGAATGTTGGCCATTAAAAGAGAAGCATAATACTAAGTTAAGTGTTGCAGAGATGAGGATGCTTAAGTGGATGAGTGGCTTTACCATTAGAGATAGGATACGAAATGAGCATATATGTCAAAAGTTTGGTATAGCTCCAGTGAAAGATAATATTAGAGAGAATCGCCTTAGATGGTTTGGTCACATTACATAGAGGCCTTCCGATGACCCGGTTAGGCAAGTTGAGGTATTAGATTTGACTTATGTTAAGAAAGGTAGAGGTAGACCTAAAAAGACTAGGTTAGAAAATATTAGAAATGATCTTTCTTTATTAGATTTAAATGAGAATTTGACTTTTAACAGGAAACAATGGCGAAAAAGAATTCATGTAGCCGACCCCACGTAGTGGGACAAAGGCTTGATGTTGTTATTGTTGTTGTTGTTTTTGTTATTGTTGTATCATGACTTGTCGGTAACTCATTGGGGTGAATAGCGGAGGACAAATCAACCACGTTGTTGTATTCTCCCACATTTGTGTGGCTATTGGCAAGTTCTAACTACATGGCCAATTTTCATGGCTACTATAGACCAACAATGTGCCTGAATGGCCCTTCTTATAATCCCTAAATCAATGCAACCTACACGACCACTGAATCCAATTACATTTCTCTTTAGAATCTACTAATGAAACTTCTCAGCAACTCCACCAGTCGCATTTTCAAAAGAGTTTGCAAGCTCTTGAGTGGCCTTTGGGTGCTCACAAACTGTATTATGAACATCATCTTGAAATCAGGAAACAAGATGATGACATCAAGCAGCAGAAAAGAAAACCATTGAATGGTAGAATCTTTAAAAAGTGTAAAGAGCAGTCTTCGCATCATCGCATGATGTTGGCGATTCAAATATGCAATGTTGTCGAAAGGGCCAAACCTTCCTAGGTATAATTTCATGGGAGGCATCTTAAACTTCGCGAGTGACTTTGTATATGTGATCTCCCTATAAAATGTATTGGCCAGCTCTAGCTCCCTTCTATTTACTCACTTGGGCAAGGGGATGTATTCCTATCACTATGGTCAGGAATAGGTGTTGAAGTGTTAACACCTTGTATTGAACCTTCTTTGGCGGATTGCCAAATTAGGCTTTTTTTTGTCTTGGTGCAATTCTTTGAACTCTCTTGAGTACTTCTTGGATCATCTTTGTGATTTTGTCTTCCATCTCCATTAAATCATGATGGGTTATGAAGTTCTAGTTCTCCATGTTTACTGATGACCCTTGATTATTCTACATTTCACATAATGCTTGTCTTTGGCACTAGTATCAATCCATATTCACCAAATTTTAGAGAATGGGAAAAAAATCAAAATGGTCCCTTGACACTTCAAGAAGGACTAAAATAGTCTCCAACTATATTAAAGAATCATTTTGGTCCCCTAACTCTTTAAAGAGGAACAAAAATAATCCCATTGTAAGACTATTTTAGTTCCTCTTTAAGGAGTTGGGAGATCAAAAAATTTCTTTAATATAGTTGGAAATAATTTTGGTCCTTCATAAAGAGTCAATGGACCATTTTGGTTCTTTTCTCTTTAAAGAATATTGGATTCAAATTTGTTTGTGTGCAACACCTGACCCTACTAATGGATTAACAAAATAATATGAGATAACCAAGTGAGGGAATCAACAAGTGCAAAGAGAAAATAAAGAGTTAAATGATCTTTGTAAAAAGTAAAAATAATATGATGTCCAAACATATGTCTTAACCCTTTATTTATAGGCTTAAGAGGGCTACAAGATAAGCTGAAGCAAGAAAAAATGATATATGATGTGATAAGTATAGAGTGACACAACCACCGCCCGACAAGAATCAGTTCAGATACCTGGGAGCTACCTACATGGGCATCCATGCCCTCAAGTACACATCAATTAATTTGGCCAGATGTTAAACCAAAATAATAAATGAAGGAGGATTCATAAGACCCATAAGATAAGGCTAACGATCATAATGATTATATATAATGTGCGCACATAACACGTGGATTCTTTAATTGTTTTGCAACTAAAAATAGGCATCCATGTTTTCAAAAAACAAAAAGATCACATTATTCACCTTGCCTAAAACTCAAATAATAAAAGCATTCTCCTCTTTTTTTTCACATCATATTTCAATCAAATATACCAAACCTTTATCACATTAGAAGATTTTTCTCCACCATAAAGCTTGAATTTTTATTTTTTTGCTGGACCGGCAATCTCAACACATAAAGCCTGATGGTTCTTTTACAGAACTAATAGTTTCAGTATACATCTTATACACAGTATTTCTTCACGTGTGTTTCATTGTCCTTTGTTCATGTACTTCACTTACCAACATTCTAGTTGAGAAATAAGAAACTGGAACAATAACCAATGCAATGATCTATAAAACTATCTAATAAAATTTCAAGGCTACAGATAATAAATAAAAGATGGTTTCAACAAACATATTGTATGCTCAATGTTTTAAGGTACCTATGATGACTAAGAAAATAATCACAAAAAAGGATTAATACATCAAACAAGAACGGAGAGTAAAATCTAGGATTCAACAACTTACTTGCTTAACAGACTCCGCAATCTCTGGGCCAATACCATCACCAGGAAAGAGAGTAGCACGGATGGGATGTTCTGAAGAGGCTGCAGTTGAGAGTGAAGAAGAGGGAAATGGAAACGCCCTTGTAGAAATTCGGTCCAGAATATTCCTCCGGAAGAGGCTTTTTAGCGCCATGAGATGCAGGAAAATCTGCTCCTAAATAAACAGAGGGTGACCTTGCAAGCTATGCCCAAAATTATGTTGGAAATTCTAGATATATGAACTTTCTAAGTACATAGTAGATAAGCAAATCTAGTACTTGAAGGAATTCACTGGTCCAATAACAAAACCATGAATCCAATATTGAATAGTAACAGAACATAAAATCTATTAACCATAAAAAAAATACCTGCAGGAAGTATGAATGCAGTAACAGTCATTTCCTAGAAAGCATTGGATACAAAAAGGGAAAATATATATATGCATGTGAACAAAATCTATTGAGCAGTAAGAAATACAAATAGAGGGTAATTATTAAAAGTAAATTCCCTTTAGTTTGCCATCTTGATGAAAAAAGACAATTTTATTTAATGTTTATAAACTACTCTTCAAATTTTCAATCTTTATAAACATGGATAATAATATATAATAAAAAATTAATTAAAGTTAAACTCTTTTTAACCCTTCATCATCATCCACCCGCCTTGAGAGGACAAGTCACGTCTTAGCCAAAACCCGGGATCAATGCTTAGGTTCCTAGAAACACAGGCATCATTACTTAGTTTGCTAGAGACCCCTACAAGTTTGTAACCCGGATATTATTAACGGGCTTGCTAAAACTTGGGCGTACAAAAAAGGGTCGCCAGAAATTTAGGTTTTCTATATCCTAATTATCATATTTTCAAAAATAAAGCAATGTATTGCTTTTCAAAATTTTAAAATGATTGCGCTGTTTAACAGTACAAACACAGAGAGACTTCTACAAATTTCCCCACCGCTAAAAAAATACATCTCATTTAGCAATCGCGTGAATTCAGATCTAAACATTCTGTGCCCTAAGTAGTGATAGGCAAAGAAAGATCTGGAAGAAGGAATTCACGGTGAATTCACGGCTAACTTAAAAAAACGTCATTTTCTTTTGCTAAATGGAGCAAGTTACCTGAGGGACTGTTTGGCAACAGGATTTATGCAGGATTTATGCTAAATCCTGCCAAACGGGATTTGAGCGCCCCGTAAATCTGACGGCGGAATAAATCCTCCGTTTCCCTCTGTTTGCCGTAAATCCTGGATTTGCTAAATCCTCTAGTTCGGCGGATTTACGAAATTTGGCCAGAGAGGCGCGTGAAAGGGAGAAAGTTATCTGCACAGCCAGCGAGCTCCCGTCGTTGCTTCCGATCAAAATGTCGAAGGAGCCGAAGAAGCGACTCGTTCAATCTCCAAACCTCCAGCGAAGCAACGAAGCCGAGCAGCAACGACGAAAGGAGAAAACGAAAGGCAAACCCTAGACGCCTATTATTGATTAATTTAATTAATATAATTTAAAATATTAATAATTAAGTAAATTAATTAAATATTAATAGTATAATTAATTATTATATAATTTAAATTAATTAATAATTAGTAATATAATTAATAATTAAACATTATTCTAATTAGCTTAATTAATATAAATTAAAATTTTTATTATTAAATATATAAA